TATGGTAGTGTAGGTGACTGATAGTATGGTAGTGTAGGTGACTGATAGTATGGTAGTGTAGGTGACTGATAGTGTGGTAGTGTAGGTGACTGATAGTGTGGTAGTGTAGGTGACTGATAGTATGGTAGATAGGGTAGATGACTGATAGTATGGTAGTGTAGATGACTGATAGTATGGTGGCAGTGGTAGTGTGAGTGAATGATGATGGTGATGGTAATATTGATGCTAGCAAACAGTAATCACTATTATTATAGCATAGTTTTCATTGTTGTTTAATGTTATTATCTCTGCATTCTTTCAGCTGTCCACCAACACATCATGGCGATAAGTGTGAGCATGCTTTCATAAATGGAAATACAAACCCAACTCCCAATCAGAGTAAAAATAAATCTAGTATGGAAGATACAGGCAAGTGTAACTCTTTTTTATTTCCTAAAAGAATAATATTCAGTTATTTGTCATCATTGTGTAGTTCTAGAAAATATCCATGCCCCACACACGGAGGAAATTGGAAATTCTGAAGGGGGGAGGAGGGTCAGAGATATAACAAAATTACAGAGTTGAAGAAAATTTGGTACTCCTGTGGGTAGGAAGGTCATTTTAAAATTTCCCTCCGTGGTGGGGGTATGGATATTCTGGAACTACACATCCCCCAAAAAATAATTAAAAATTAAAAATAATTTAGTCCTATTATTACGACATTTTATTTCAAAAATATTTACTTTATCTGATGAATTTAGAATATCCAACTAATTGTGGTAATGTTTTGATTTGTTCAGGAACTACCATAGGGATAGTGATTGGCATAGTGCTTTTTATTCTCCTTTTATCTGTGATAATAGGCTGCCTTATCCATAGGCAAATACAGAAAAGGTGAGACTTGAACAAGTGACCACAACCTTTGGAACCATAGTTGTGAAAGACAACTTGACAATCACCCATGCTTTCCACATTATTATGGCATAGAAAAGTGGGTGGTCTGCAAAACCTCCTATTATGCCTTAAAATATTACAAAACACACTCCAGCAAAATTATTTCACAGCCTTGTGGTTGTTACTTAGTGTTATGATCTTTTTTATTTTTTCACCCACTTCCACAAACAATGTGTACGGGCAACCCCCAAAAAATGTCCCATTAAACTGACTGACCCCCATTAAACTGACTGACCCCCATTAAACTGACTGACCCCCATTAAACTGACTGATCCCCATTAAACTGACTGATCCCCATTAAACTGACTGATCCCCATTTAACTGACTGATCCCCATTTAACTGACTGATCCCCATTAAACTGACTGACCCCCATTAAACTGACTGACCCCCATTAAACTGATTGACCCCCATTAAACTGATTGACCCCCATTATACCGATGGCCGCCATTAAACTGACTGCTGCCATTCCTTCCATTTCAGATATCCCAGATCAATGACATTCGATAACCCAGTATATAAAAAGACAACAGAGTCTAATAGCTCATTAGACAACATCTCAATACCCTTCTCTCGTAATAACAGACGTGGACCAGGATTATTGGTAAACTGAGCTCAAATGAACTTAAAGTGCCTATCACCCTTCCAACAATATTCTCAGTATTGATTCTACATGATTCTAAATTCTTATTCCATGTAGAATATTGTCAGAAGGGTGATAGGCAATTTAAAGATTTTGTTTTTTTGTTTCAATTCAAATTACTTCCATATTTTTTATCTGAAAGGGAAGAACAGAAAAAAGCTTTAATTTTTTTTGYGGTGTGTGTTTGATCCCCTCAAAATCTCAGAAAATAATGGGATTCTCTTCTTAACCCTTACGAGATATCTAACCCTAATTGTAACCCTGCATTGTTGTATTAAAAATGACTTGATTTTTTTCTGTTTCATTTATTGTGAAACTGCTGTGCAACTCAAATTATTTTGTGCCCCCTCTTTATCCTGATTTTTTAATGACCCCTCCCACCTACCACCCCTCCCCAGTAGAAAATAGTCCAAAGATATTGACAATGTGCGAGAGGAAAATAAAAAGCCAGTGCTATTGCTAATTTGATAATTTTCTTGTTTATGTTATAGAGCTCATTTAGAAATGAAATGGAAATGAATAGCTGTTAGCGTCATGCTGGTTTGTCAATATCATTTATTATTTCCATTTGCCAAACTCAGTGCAAATAACTTCATCTTTTAAAAAGGTGAAGATTATGTACTTATTGACTGAGTGGGAGGGCTGTATGGAAAAATATTTGGCTCGAGGTGATACAAATGATCGAGAGCCAAATATTTTCCCATACGGCCCCACCTAACTCAGTCAATAAGCATTTTATCATATGACCCTCACRATAAGAAAAATAATAAAATAAAAGAAAGAAAGAAATAGTAAATAAAAGYTTACAAAGAGAAAGCGCACGGTTTCGAGCAGGGCCGTATRGATTCATACGGCYCTGCTCACGCCTTTTTCCCGAAGGGTTTTCTAAGAGCGCGCGCCTGGGCAGATACTGGTCATATGATAAATGTGAATATTTACTTGAGTTTGGCAAATGAAAAGCTTTTCCTAATGTACAGAGAGGATTATTAATATTATTATTACAAAGTTTATCATCCTAATTATCAAAGTCATCCTGGAGATGTCATGTACAGTATACAGTATTATGTGTTAATTTCAAGATATTTATGAAAAAGGGCTGATGTCAGTGACGATGTGACCATCAGCTCAAGCAACAGGCACCTCATTTATCTGTCAATCAGCTCATAATTCATGAGCTGAACAGAACATGCCAAGGTGGCTGGAATTTTGGTTGGCAATTATTAATTTTAAARATGTTTCATTCATCTACATGAAATTGAAAAAAAAACTTGTATTGAAAAGGTTGAATGGTCAAAGTTAATCCTGAAGGGTGTTCTGGGTGGTTGATATCCTGGGCATTTGAAGAGTGTTTGCATATAGACACATGCATTAAAGTAACAACATTCATTGTTCCGTAACTTAAATCTATGTTCAAGATCTGTGAAACTGCAATTAAATGTAAGCTTTGTTAACTGTTTACCCAGAACATCCTTTGGTCTTAGCTCCTATGAATTAACCTTTTAGACACGACACTTTTTTCAATTTGTACAGTTGTATATATTGGTACATACATTGTTGCTTGTGCTCGTGTTTCCATCGTCAGTGGAATGGCTTGAATGTGCAGGGTAACATTTAGCATTCTGAATAACCATTGTTTGCCATAGCATATTTACAGTTAATAGCATTGATTATATATGGCTAACTTCACAGCAATTTATATTTTGTCTAAGTAATGCACATTTAAAACTAAATCTGCAGTTTTTTTGTATTCTTTTGTTTCCTCTGTCCTGGTGACATAAGGAATTTGAAGCACTTCTTGCCGTCATGGTTTATTTTGTAGCATGGTATCACAGCTGGCTTGTGCACTTTTTGGATCAAAATCATGACTTTATTCGCATTGGTGTTTGTAATTTTTTTTAGAGAAAGACAAGTATTTTTTATAGCTTGAAAAAAATAATTCTCACAAGCTTTATGGTTTAGTATTAAGCTAATTGGTGTTGGTTGGGTTGATGAGCAGCTTGGTAAAGCCTGACAGTAGCTAACGAAATCACTAATTATAATTATAATTTTCATAATGTGCCGCACTTGTTGATAATCATAGTTGTTACCCTGCAAAAGTTAACATTGTACAATATTATATTATAAGAGGAAATAATTTTGTTGCTGCCAGTAAGAGCTCAGCTTTTCTGTAGGTGTAACTCTCCTTAAAACATTACAATATAGTGTTTAATACTTTCTGGGCTTCCTTTGGTGTTGAAGAAATAGACCCTACTTATCAAGTCAAATATAAAGGAAGCCAATTCCTAGAATATTAAACTGCTGTATCCTTCCAGATCACTTAACRTGTAGTTTTCTTCCACAACTTGACAATATGCAATGGACTTATCTAGTTTGGGATGAATACCTTCCCATTTCAAACTCATTGGAAATGCTATTATGATTAATACCACRAAGAAAAAAGCAACCATATGCAAGGAATAGCGACAATTTCAAAAACATAATTATCCAAACTAGATAAGTTCAGCTCATTGTTAAAAACATTTTTTAGATAACTTTACCTGTAAAAATAATGATCTTCACGGCCTGGTTGTCGGAAGGGTGGATAGTGTTATCTGATGATGGATAAATCTAATCCAGTGGATAAATTTACTGGATAACAGCATTGACTTATCTGTTGGATAAGGATTTATCCATCRGATAGTACAATTCACCCTTCGTACAACTGGGCCCTGGTGCCCAAAACCATGTTATTACTTCCTGTACAGAACTCATTATATTAAGAGAAAAAGCTTTGCTGAGTGCTGAGATAACTTGGCTTATAAGCCTATTATATTTGTATATCTTGGAAGAAAAATTGATTTTATAAAGTCAAAAAATATTTTACTGCAGCAAAGAAAAGAATGAGATTATTTCTGTCCACATGTTATTGTCATGCAGGGTTTAAAATAATGGTCTGTAGATGGTCATTATTACCATTATTATTATTATTATCGTACTTCATTTCTTGCTCAACTGGTCAAAAAGACCAGCAAGGCAAAGATTTAAGTGGATTTAAATTTCAGTTCTGGCCGGAAATTGTCTGACGACCAGCCGTTATTTTAAGCCCTGTTGTGTAATATAATGATATAAACACAAATTGAGCTTGATCACAAGGACAAAATATTTCAATTTATTTACTGTTGTGATACTGATTTTCTTTTCTTCAGACATTTAGATGTACTGTGAGAAAATCAATATAATATGGTTAAGTTTTGTTATGTTTTCACTACCAGTAACAGAGTAGATCTTGTATGATTTAGAATACAACACGATGCATACTAAGTTCTCTTACATTTCTCTCGCAATACTTTATAACACTATAGTACCCAGACAGCTTTGGTACCACCTGTACAATCAAATTTACATTGCCAGAGAAATGTTTTGTGATTTACAGAAACAGATAAACAGAGTTTAGCCRAAGGTTGCAGGAGACACACAAATCTGGAGTGCACTTATCTTAATAATATTATCCCGTCAGTAAGAAATCACTTGCACTCTACTTAGAGATTCTTAATGTTTTGTGCTGCAAAGTTGACTGTGAACTGCGAGGAACTGACATTTTATAAGTGTCTGTTTTGCATTCTTACAAAATTCATGCACAAACTGCTCTGTTATTGGTAGTCAGTATTTTATTAGATATGTTATGTAGTACTATTATATCCTATATTACTGACCTTAATCATACCAAGGAGATTTTGATTGATGTCCTCAAGCCTATTGGCCGTTTTGGACTTTATTGCAAGTCTTATTGGGTCAGGAGTTTACCTATAAAACTTATGACAAAAAAGTACTGAAATAAGAGAGCCTCTGAAACCCAGGGGAGTTGGCTAAAAGTATTATATTTACTCCCTCCCCCACAGTTGTCAAATACTTTGGGACAGTCAGGATTTATAGAAGAAAAAACAAAATGAAGATCCATGTTTGTGGTACTGTATTCAATGGCTYGATTAAGGTCTTAATTAAGGATTATACAAATTTAACGAAACACATATAATTATATTACTGATCAATGTACCTTTCCTAAGTTGCTATCAGTTACCATGAAATTTTGTTCGCGAGAGTAAGTTACAGTGCAACTACTATAATGATGGCCACTTAGACAGTGGGAGCCAATCAAATTGTCRAATAAAAACAATACATTCTGACGTTGGGTAGTGGAGCCAATCAGAAAGCAGCAGAAAAAATAGGTTTCTGATTGGCTGGACTTCCCAAATTTGAAATACATTGTCTCCATTCTACATTTTAATTGGTTCTTTTGTCAGTAGTTGCACTGTGAGCTGAACAAAATCTTCAACATTTAGGAAAGGTTCCGTTTATTGCCATTTCAGTTATCAAGCTCTGCTTGATTTTACAAGTCAGAGAAAACTTCAATATGTTATTCAAATAACTTGGAAACATTAGACTAAATTTCAATCTCATTAAAGATTTTGATCAACTGAGATAATGTGATGGGGAAGTAAGTTACATATTTAAATATATTTACCTAAATTCCTGTAAAATGTGTGTATATATTATTAATAGCAAACAAATATGGAAACAAATTTATACTGTACAGTTTGAAAATATAAAACAGAAATAATTCTAGCAAGTGTGTTAATTATTGTTGAATCTTGTTCAAATGGCAAATTACAAACTAGTTATACAATACTTTTAAGTGGTATACCATGTAATGACCCACATGTCACTTGCATTGACTATGCATCCACACGACCCATTGGGCGAGTGTGTACACAAAGAAAATATATGTGACAAGTGGGATATTCTATGGTGTTCCAAGAGAAAGCATTGTATAACTATCTTGGTAGTGGGGAATTGAAATTTGGGGCTATAAAACCATGGTTTCCTCATATCCTTCTCTTGGATATGGGGAATCGAGATGAGAAGCCATATGACCATGGTACCCTTGACTCCTTATCTTAGTTATGGGGAACAGAAATGTGAAGCTCCATAACCATGGCACCCTTATATCCTGATCAGTTGGTTATTGGGTACGAAATGTGAAGCCATATAACCATTAACTATCCTTACGGATATATGGCCTCACATTTCCATCCCTATGACAGATAAAAAGTTGAGGGGTATCATAAAATGAAGGCATATAACCATGGTTCCCTTGTATTCTTATCTTGGTTATTGGGTATCATAAAATGAAGCCATATAACCATGGTTTCCCTTAATATCTTACATATGGATGAGCGAGGTTAACGCCTGGTTAAAATCATGATTTTTACACCAACGGATTAAGCTCCATTTTGAGCATTTTGAGCTGGTGTAAAATCCGATTTTCACCAGGTGTTCCTCGATCCCCTATCAATAGGTAACACCCCATTTTAACTTCCAAAACAAGTTAAATGATTTATATGTGTTTTATTG